CCTCCCCCAAAACCCACCTCCCCCGTTAAACTTGATCTATGTAATGCTGAAACACTCCACCCTTAGGATTGTTTAGCATGTCAACAACCATTTCAACAGTAAAATCTGTTACCCCCAATATCTCTTTTGCAGTCTCCACAATAACCTTCAACCTGGCATTTCTGCTTTCCACAACCCGAGTCGTGTTGATAACCTTACCAATAAAAACTATGAAGTCAACTTTATTTATTATCAAAGATTTGTGAACAGGCCTCCAAACCATGCCAGGACCAGCAGAAACACCAGCCCCGACATTAGGTCCCCTTACTACAGGACCAGCAGAAACACCAGCCCCGACATTAGGTCCCCTTACTACAGGACCAGCAGAAACACCAGCCCCGACATTAGGTCCCCTTACTACAGGACCAGCAGAAACACCAGCCCTGACATTAGGTCCCCCTTACTACAGGAGCAGCAGAAACACCAGCCCCGACAATAGGTCCCCTTACTACAGGACCAGCAGAAACACCAGCCCCGACATTAGGTCCCCTTACTACAGGAGCAGCAGAAACACCAGCTCCGACATTAGGTCCCCTTACTACAGGACCAGCAGAAACACCAGCCCCGACATTAGGTCCCCTTACTACAGGAGCAGCAGAAACACCAGCCCCGACATTAGGTCCCCTTACTACAGGACCAGCAGAAACACCAGCCCCGACATTAGGTCCCCTTACTACAGGAGCAGCAGAAACACCAGCCCCGACATTAGGTCCCCTTACTACAGGACCAGCAGAAACACCAGCCCCGACATTAGGTCCACTTACTACAGGACCAGCAGAAACACCAGCCCCGACATTAGGTCCCCTTACTACAGGACCAGCAGAAACACCAGCCCCGACATTAGGTCCCCTTACTACAGGAGCAGCAGAAACACCAGCCCCGACAAATTTTGTTTAAAATTAGGGATTCCCCTTCTCCCTGTTGACGTCCCCTTCCCCGTTCATGCCCTAGATAGCCGTCCGTTGGGTGCGGGCTTGATCAGGGAGGTCACGGCGCCACTTAGGATGTGTGCGCAGGGGGGTCATCAGGAGATGATCCAGCTATTTCTGATTGACTCGCCTGCGTATCTGGTGGTGCTGGGCATGCCCTGGTTGAGTACCCATAACCCATCTATTTCGTGGCAGGAGAGGGCTCTGATGGAGTGGTCTGCCCAGTGTGTGGGTCGATGTTTAGGCGTTTCCGTAGGGGCTACCTCGGTGGAGAGTCCAAACCAGGTGCCCGCATTGCACGTTCCCCCTGAGTATGGGGATTTGGCTATTGTGTTCAGTAAGTCGAGGGCGACACAGTTGCCTCCCCATAGGCAGGGAGATTGTGCGATAGACCTCCAGGCAGGAGCTGCGCTCCCACGGAGCCATGTGTATCCTCTGTCTCAGGAGGAGAAGAGAGCTATGGAGACTTACATAGACGAATCTCTGAGACAAGGATACATACGGCCCTCCACTTCCCCTGCGTCCTCGAGTTTCTTTTTTGTGAAGAAAAAGGATGGTGGGTTACGCCCGTGCATTGATTACCGTGGTCTCAATCAGATTACGGTGAAGTACAGTTATCCACTCCCGCTGATTGCGACCATGACGGAGTCATTGCACGGGGCGCGTTTCTTCACTAAATTAGATCTCAGGAGCGCGTACAACTTGGTGCGCATTAGGGAGGGCGATGAATGGAAGACAGCCTTTAGTACCACCTCGGGCCATTACGAGTATCTTGTCATGCCATACGGGTTGATGAACGCTCCTTCAGTTTTCCAATCATTCGTGGATGAGATCTTCAGGGACATGCAGGGGCAGGGGGTGGTCGTGTACATAGATGACATTCTCGTGTACTCGCCTACCCGAGTCGAGCATGTGGCCCTGGTGCGCCGAGTGTTGCGGAGGCTGTTGGAGCACGACCTGTATGTCAAGGCAGAGAAGTGTCTGTTTTTTCCAGGAGTCAGTCTCCTTTTTGGGGTATCAGTTGTCTGCGTCAGGGGTGAAGATGGAGGTAGACCGGGTGTCAGCCGTGCGTAATTGGCAAACGCCAACCACTGTGAAGGAGGTGCAGCAGTTTTTGGGGTTTGCGAATTACTACCGGAGGTTTATTCGGGGTTTTGGACAGGTGGCAGCTCCCATAACGTCTCTTTTGAAGGGGGGGTCCGGTGCGTCTGCAGTGGTCAGCCGAGGCGGACAGGGCGTTTGGGAGGCTGAAGGACCTGTTTACCTCGGCCCCGGTGCTGGCGCATCCGGATCCCTCTTTACCATTTCAGGTAGAGGTGGACGCGTCAGAGGCCGGTATAGGAGCCGTGCTTTCGCAACGGTCCGGCGCGCCACCTAAACTCCGCCCCTGTGCTTTTTATTCCAAGAAGCTCAGTCCGGCGGAGCGAAATTATGACGTAGGGGACAGGGAGCTGTTAGCCGTGGTACAGGCCCTAAAGGTGTGGAGGCACTGGCTTGAGGGGGGCTCAACACCCTTTCCTCATTTTGACGGACCACCGTAACCTGGAGTACATCCGGGCAGCGAGGAGGCTGAACCCTCGCCAGGCGAGGTGGAATATGTTTTTTGACCCCGGTTCACATTTAAGATCACGTACATCCCAGGGTCACAGAACGGTAAGGCAGATGCACTGTCTCGGCGGTATGACACGGAGGAGAGGTCCGTGGAGCCCACGCCCATACTGCCGGAGTCGTGTCTGGTGGTACCGGTAGTGTGGGAGGTCGATGCTGAACTCGAGCGGGCGTTACGCACCGACCCTAGTCCACCTCAATGCCCGGAGGGTCAGAAGTACGTTCTGCTCGAGGTTCGGGATCGATTGATCTATTGGGCTCACACGTCACCCTCCTCCGGACACCCTGGTATCGGCCGGACAGTGCACTGTCTTAGTGCCAAGTACTGGTGGCCCACGTTGGCCAGGGATGTGAGGGTTTATGTTTCCTCCTGCTCGGTGTGCGCCCAGTGTAAGGCGCCTAGACATCTGCCTAGGGGTAAGTTACTACCCCTGCCCGTTCCACAACGACCATGGTCTCACCTCTCGGTGGATTTCCTCACTGACCTTCCTCCTTCACAGGGGAATACCACTATACTGGTCGTTGTGGACCGGTTTTCTAAGGCCTGTCGTTTGCTCCCTATGCCGGGCCTTCCTACTGCCCTGCAAACGGCCGAAGCACTATTCACCCATGTGTTCCGGCACTACGGGGTACCCGAGGATATCGTGTCTGATCGAGGTCCCCAATTTACCTCCAGAGTCTGGAGAGCTTTTATGGAGCGGTTGGGGGTCTCGGTGAGCCTCACCTCGGGTTACCACCCGGAGAGTAATGGGCAGGTGGAACGTGTGAACCAGGATGTGGGTAGGTTTCTCAGAACATACTGCCAGGACCGGCCGGAGGAGTGGGCAAGGTACGTTCCCTGGGCCGAAATGGCCCAGAATTCCCTACGCCATTCCTCCACTAACCTAACCCCTTTCAATGTGTGTTAGGTTACCAGCCGGTTCTGGCACCTTGGCAGCAGAGCCAGATCGAGGCTCCTGCGGTGGATGAGTGGGTGCGGCGCTCGGAGGAAACATGGAACGCTGCACACGTCCACCTGCAGCGGGCCCTCCGTCGTCATAAGGCGAGCGCCGATCTCCACCGCAGTGAGGGACCGGTGTACGCACCTGGTGATCGAGTCTGGCTCTCTACCAGAAACCTACCCCTCCGCCTGCCCTGCCGGAAAACTGGGTCGGCGGTTTGTAGGGCCATTTAAAGTCCTGAGAAGATTGAACAAGGTGGTGTTACAAATTACAACTGCCTGTTGAGTATAAAAGTATTAACCCCTCGTTCCATGTGTCTCTTCTCAGGCCGGTGGTAGCTGGCCCACTCCAAGAAAGTGAGATCTTGGAGACTCCTCCGCCCCCATTGGACATCGAGGGGGCACCGGCGTACTCCGTGCGGTCCATCTTGGATTCGAGACGTCGGATGGGGGGTCTCCAATATCTAGTGGAGTGGGAGGGGTACGGCCCGGAGGAACGGTGCTGGGTGCCGAGGAGAGACATTTTAGACCCGTCTCTCCTGACGGAATTCCATCGTGGGCACCCGACGCACCCTGCTCCGCGTCCTCCTGGTCGTCCCCGAGGCCGGAGTCGGCGCACGTCTGGAGCCGCGCGTCAAGGGGGGGGTACTGTCACGGTTTCGGCCGAGGCTGCCTCTCTTCCTTGCTCGGGCAGGCTTCGGCGTTCGTCGTCTCCGGAATACTAGCTGCCACCGTTGCATGTTTCTATGTTCGTTTGCTTTTGTCTGATTGTTGTTACACCTGTTATCGTTTAGTGTAATTAGTGTCCTATAAGTTCTCGTTGTGTTTGTCAATTGTTGTGTGTGATTGTTTTCTCTGTCGTGCGTTGCTGGACGTAATTATTGTATTGCTCGGTTGAGCTGTTCTCCACTGTGTTGGAGCGTTTTGGCGCACCTGTGTAGTGCGCCCGTTTTGTTTCTCGCCTGCGTGCGGAGTTTCGCCTTCGGGCTAGTTGGTGCGTTTCCCTTGTGATTTTCACTAAAGTCTTTGGACTGTGCTTCTGCGTCCTGCGCCTGATTCCACCACCACACCCACCTACAGCCACACTGACAATTTGTCACAAAGTACTTTACAGATACCCAGCCTAAAACCCCAGAGAGCAAGCAATGCAAATGTAGAAGCACAGTGGCTAGGAAAAACTCCCTAGAAAGGCTGGAACCTAGGAAGAAACGTAGAGAGGAACCAGGCTCTGAGGGGTGGCCAGTCCAGACATGATACTCCACAGCTGTATTCTACACGCCACGCTCTACACTCATTATTCATTCTCTCTTTCTCTTTCTTTCTAACTCTTTCTCGCTCCCTCCTTCCTGCCTCTCTCAGGTGGCAATGCTGGCATCGGCAAAGAGACAGCTGTTGCCTTGGCGATGCCAGGTGCCCGTGTCATCATAGCGTGCCGTGACGTGGACAAGGCTTAGAAGGCAGTTAGGAAGATCAGGGTTCACAACATGAATGTCCTTCACATGGAGCTGGACCTGGCCAACATGCGCTCCATGAGGGACTTCTGTAAGACCTTCCTACAGAGGGAGAAGAGACTGGACATCCTCATCAATAATGCAGGTGAGAGAGAGAGCGGGAGGGAGGGAGGGAGTATGTCTTGTCAGCCATTTGTCCAAGGATTCCTAAATACCATGTAAGGGTCCGTTCACACTGCTCGCAGTAAAACAAACTATGCCAGAAACAAGCCATTACGTTGGTCCTAGCTGACAGAATAATTGATTAGAACCAATAAAATGACTTTTCGGAGTCGTGAACAGACCCTCCAGCCACCCAAGCCATAGACTGTTCTGTCTGCTTCTGCACGGCATGCGGTACCGGAGCAACAAGTCTGACACAAACAAGCTCCTTAACAGCTTCTATCCCCAAGCCATAAGACTGCTAAAAAGCTAACAAAATTACATTTTATTTTGCACTGACTCTATGCACACTCACTCACTCACTCTATGCACACACTCACACAGACACTCCAACACACACACACACACACACACACACACACACACACTTCATTTGTTCACACACACACACACACACACACACACACACACACACACACACACACACACACACACACACACACACATTCATACTGTCTCTTAACACACTCACATACAATCATCATATACGCTGCTGCTACTCTGTTTATCATACATCCTGATGCCTAGTCACCTTACCCCTATACATATCTAACCCTCCCACTCCAGTATCCCTGCACATAGTAAATATGGTATTGGCACTGACCCTGGAGCTGACCCTGTATATAGCTACTGACCCTGGAGCTGACCCTGAAACGGACCCTGTATATAGCTACTGACCCTGGTGCTGACCCTGGAGCTGACCCTGAAACTGACCCTGTATATAGCTACTGACCCTGTGACTGACCTGATCTGACCTGATCTGCCCTGTATATAGCTCTGACCCTGACTGCCTGTGCTACTGACCCTGAACTGACTCCTGTATATAGCTACTGACCTGGTCTGACCCTGGAGTACCCTGGACTGCTGTATATAGCTACTACTGACCTGACACTGATACCTGATAGTCTGACCTGGATGCCCTGTATTATAGCTACTGACCCTGGTCTGATCCCTGTAATATACTGACCCTGATCTTACCCTACTGACCCTGAACTGACCCTTATAGCTACTGACCTGGTGCTGACCCTGGAGCTGACCCTGAAACTGACCCTGTATATAGCTACTGACCCTGGTGCTGACCCTGGAGCTGACCCTGAAACTGACCCTGTATATAGCTACTGACCCTGGTGCTGACCCTGGAGCTGACCCTGAAACTGACCCTGTATATAGCTACTGACCCTGGAGCTGACCCTGAAACTGACCCTGTATATAGCTACTGACCCTGAAACTGACCCTGTATATAGCTACTGACCCTGGATCTGTCCCTGTATATAGCTACTGACCCTGGATCTGTCTCTGTATATAGCTACTGACCCTGGATCTGTCTCTGTATATAGCTACTGACCCTGGATCTGTCCCTGTATATAGCTACTGACCCTGGATCTGTCTCTGACCCTGGATAGCTACTTACTTTCTCGTGTTCTTCTTATTTCTATTTCCTGTGTGTTTTTGTTCTACTTGACTTTTTGATTGATTTGTTTATAGTCCAACTGATATTAATTACTGTTGGGAAAGAGCAGGAAGGCATTTCAATGTACTTGTGCACGTGACAATAAAAACGTCAAACTTGAAACCCTCAGGTCTTGTTTCTAGGTTTTCTGGCGGTGCGTTTGAGTGCATTCATGAGGAGGTACAGACTCACTATGTTCAGCGTTCTGCAGGCACAGTGTTCCCTAATACCCTGTCACAGAACCATCTAACCTTGATGGGTAAATGGGATATATTTTCTTCTCCCGCTCTCTCCACCCAGGCATTTTTTTTTTATATCGAGGTATATTTCACTTTCTCTGTTCATAGGAGTAACAACATGAATTTGTGCATGAGGCAGAAATAATGCGGTGCGACTCGAGTTTCGCCATCAGCTGGAAGACGGTGTCCCTATTTGGTCAGTGTCAGTGGAGGAAAGGGAGAGCGGAGGGGTGTTGAGAGGCGGACCCTCAGTCTGGTGCTCTCTCCCTCCGCTGAGACTGACCATCAGATGCAGGCACCATCAGCCCAGTAAAATAAAAATAAAAAGCAAATTATTTAAATATATGCTCACTCAGCTGTGCCCCACAAGTAAAACAACAACTGATCTATTACCAGTGTGATCAAATAGCCTACCTCAAATTTGGAAATATAATTTAACAAATGGTCTGAACAACAATGCATTGGCAAGCTTCTACCCCCAAGCCATAAGACTCTTGAACAGCTAATCATGGCTACCCGGACTATTTGCATTGTTCCCCCCCACCCCACCCCACCCCACCCCCACCCTCTCTTTTAAGCTGCTGCTACTCTGTTTATTATCTATGCATAGTCACTTTAACTCTACCCTCATCTACATATTACCTCGACTAACCTGTGCCCCTGCACATTGACTCTGTACCGGTACCCCCCTGTATATAGCCTCGTTACTGTTATTTTATTTTACTGCTGCTCTTTAATTATTTGTTATTTTTATATTTTACTTATACATTTTTTACTTAACACTTTTTTTCTTAAAACTGCATTGTTGGTTAAGGGCTTGTAAGTAAGCATTTCACTGTAAGGTCTACACCTGTTGTATTCGGCGCATGTGGCAAATCAAATTTGATTTGAAGGGAAGGGAATTCAAGCAAAGCCAATATGTAGTGATAATGTATTGGGCCTATAGCCTACTGCACAAACCTCATTGCTACAGTACTGTTTCTAATTGGTTAATGTTGCATAAGCTTACGTTTTTTAAGGTCATGTTAAAAAAACTTCTGAGCGGTAGATCTCTGTTTGCATTTTGACTCAAAGTGATCTGGACTCAATGAAGGTTGGTGACCACTGCTGTAGATTATAGTGATTATACATCCCATAATCTAATGGTCAGGATGAGGTCTGATACACGTATACGGGTACAGTCATAGTTCAAGATCAGAGTATATGCCAATTAGCAGATGCTTTTATGCAAAGCGACTTAGTCATGCGTGCATACATTTTAACGCTTGGCGTTACAAGCAAACAGTGATGTTATGTTATGGTCAGGATGATCGAGGGGAAAGGAGAGCAGACAGTGATGTTATGTTATGGTCAGGATGATCGAGGGGAAAGGAGAGCAGACAGTGATGTTATGTTATGGTCAGGATGATCGAGGGGAAAGGAGAGCAGACAGTGATGTTATGTTATGGTCAGGATGATCGAGGGGAAAGGAGAGCAACAGTGATGTTATGTTATGGTCAGGATGATCGAGGGGAAAGGAGAGCAGACAGTGATGTCTATGGTTATGGTCAGGATGATCGAGGGGAAAGGAGAGCAGACAGTGATGTTATGTTATGGTCAGGATGATCGATGAGAGGAGAAAGGAGAGCAGACAGTGATGTTATGTTATGTCAGGATGATCGAGGGGAAAGGAGAGCAAACAGTGATGTTATGTTATGGTCAGGATGATCGAGGGGAAAGGAGAGCAAGACAGTGATGTTTATGTGTATGGTCAGGATGATCGAGGGAAAGGAGAGCAGACAGTGATGTTATGTATGGTCAGGATGACGAGGGGAAAGGAGAGCAGGACAGTTATTTTGGTCAGGATGATCGAGGGGGAAAGGGAGACAGTGATGTTATGTTATGGTCAGGATGATAGAGGAGAAAGGAGATCAGACAGTGATGTTATGTTATGGTCAGGATGATCGAGGGGAAAGGAGAGCAGACAGTGATGTTATGTTATGGTCAGGATGATCGAGGGGAAAGGAGAGCAGACAGTGATGTTATGTTATGGTCAGGATGATCGAGTGGGAAAGGAGTAACCCCCCCCCCCCCCCCCCCACCTACGATCCTGGTGTGGCTTGATGCGCTAGTACTTAAAACCAGTCATTGTGTTTAAACAGAGAGGATTTACTCAGCCCAAAATCTGTCCGTGTGAGATAAGCCCTATAAGATATATGTGAGAGTGTGGAATTACGGGAGGCTTATTTGATCGAATAGAAGTTTCTTAATGTTTAGGCTGTTAAAAATGTACTAATATAAGTGGATGCATGTGGCATTCCAGCAACTTTGAGAAAAACGACTTAGTTGTGCCGGTTTTTCAATGTGTATCTGCCATCTCATTGGCTAGAATGGTCTCACCTGACCTCACTTGCCTTCACTCATTGAGAACATGCATTTCCATTGTTAGAGTGGTCATTTCGCTATCTTGTCAATATAATAGATCATCTTTGGTATAAATGAAAGAAAATGTTTGCACAACTCTCTCTTGTCGATTGAAATGTAATTGTTTGTTTTACTAAGTCATTAAGAAAAAACATTAATCATTAATCTCTTTCCCATCTCTCTCTCCTCCCTCCCTCCCTCCCTCCCTCCCTCCCTCCCTCCCTCCCACCCACCCACCCTCCCTCCCTCCCTCCCACCCACCCCACCCACCCTCCCTCCCTCCCTCCCTCCCTCCCTCCCTCCCTCCCTCCCTCTCTCCCTCCCTCCCTCCCTCCCTCCCTCCCTCCCTCCCTCCCTCCCTCCCTCCCTCCCTCCCTCCCTCCCTCCCTCTCTCCTCCCTCCCTCTCTCCCATGTTGTTCAGAGCAGCTGGACATATCACTACTCCATCATTTTCCGTATGCTGATGCAGGCCATCATGTTTATGTTCTTCGTGCCGTGTGAGACGGGCGCTCAGACCGTGTCGGACGAGGCTGCCAAGCTCAGCGGGGGATACTTCACTGACTGAAGGCCCGCCACGCTGAGGCCTTTCGCCAGGGACGCCGATGTGGCCAAGAAACTGTGGGAGGCCAGCGAGAGGCTGGTCAAACTGGCCTGAGAAACTGGAATGATTAAATGAAACTGAAGCTTTCCAAGCAAGCAATGTGTATTTTGTTTTTGTTTTGTTCTTAATGATTTCTTGTTGTTTTTTAATAACTATTTGTTTTCGGGGGACCTTATAGTGAATTATGTAAGTTTTTTTTATTTTTATAGTGAATTATGTACGTTTAATTTTTTTTTATAGATGGAGAATGGATTGTTGAACATTTATGGTTTGCCCTTGTATTGCTGACCTCAAACACTTGAATGAATGAATCTGTGGCAATACAGTGCTGTGTGATGTCTTGTTATTAGGACAGTGGTATGGTTTACTTCCATAAGTATTCAGAGGGTGGGGGTTTATTTTGTACAACGCTAGACAACACAGACAACCAGGGGTTTAAAACATCTGACACTTGAAGGTTTATGAATACAACCCTCAACACAATGCCACAATCTAACAGCACCATCTACAGGAAAAAAGCAGGTGCTGGAATTTAGATTTTGTTGACCTGTGATAGCAATAAGTGGAACTGAAAGTAAATGTTTGACATTGCTTATAAGAGTCGAGTCGCCATTTCAGGGTGTGATCATTACAGAGACGTCTCCGGATCAACTGGAATAATCACATTTCTTATTTAATTTTACTTGATATTTTAGTCATATAAAGTGGTGGTTGTTCTAGTGACGCTTGCATTTTAAGTTTTTTGTTTGTTTTGAAAATCAAAGTATACTAGGATACTGAAAGAAGATGGCAGATAGTTACCTGGATAGTTACCTGTGCTGCCATATTTGTTCAGAGACTTTCAGAGAGCCTGTTTCTCTGGGCTGTCACCACAACTTCTGTTCCAGCTGCCTGGACAAATTCTGGGTTGAGACCAAAAACAAGAACTGTCCGGTATGTAAGAGGAAATCTTCTAAGGATCATCCAAAAGTTAACTTTCAGTTGAAGGAACTGTCTGACAAATATGCCGGGAGAGAGAAAGCAGGGGATAAAGAGTGCATTCCAGATGAAGACAGAGAGGTGGTTTGTACTAAACACACAGATGAACCTAAATGGTTCTGTGAGGTGGAACAGAGAGCTGTGTGTCACGTCTGTGAGTTTCCTACACATCACGGACACACTGTCATTCCTTTAAAACAGGCAGTGAAAGACCTGAAGGAAAAACTAACATCAGACTTAGACTCACTGCAGAGCAAACAGGTTAAATGCAAAGACATTGAGAAGAAATACAGCGAAGTGGTGCAATACTCCAAGAAGCAGCTGGTATCCACAGAGAGACAGATCAGAGGGGAGTTTATGAAGCTTCATCAGTTCCTGAAAGAGGAAGAGGAGGCCAGACTGGCTGCACTGAGGGAGGAAGAGGAGGAGAAGGGAAAGATGATTGCCAGAGAGATTAAGAACATTCAGGACCAGATCTCTTCTCTCACAGAAAGCATCACTGCTTTGAAACAAGAACTCCAGAAAAGAGAGGTGCCATTTCTCAAGAGCTACAAACACATCCAGAGAAGTTCCAGAGCCCAGTACACACTGCCGGATCCACAGCTGGTCTCAGGAGCGCTGATAGATGTGGCCAAACACTTGGGCAACCTGCAGTTCAGAGTCTGGGAGAAGATACAGGGGATTGTCAAATACACTCCTGTGATTCTGGACCCCAACACTGCTGCCAACTCGCTCTCTCTGTCTGATGATCTGACCAGTGTGAGCCAGACAGGCCCAATACAGCAGCTCCCTGACAACCCAGAGAGGAGCACAAAGTATGCCACAGTTCTGGGCTCTGAGGGGTTCAGCTCAGGAAAACACAGCTGGGAGGTGGAGGTGGGGGACCACCCTTACTGGAGTATAGGTGTATCAACTTCAAACCCAGACTATGTATTGTTCATTATGGCTCTTGTTAATGGTACATATAGTGTTGGAGGTAGGACCATCACTCTGAAGGGGAGACCCCAGAAGATCAGAGTACAGCTGGACTATGACAGGGGAGAGGTGTCCTTCTACGATACCAAAGACATGACACACATCTATACTTTGAAAGAAACATTTACTGAGAGAATGTACCCACTCTTCTCTATGAGACAGGCTGGTGATGCCAACCACCCCGATATACAGATCTGCCAATCAGAGGTGTCTCTGACAGTGATGTCATCCCAGTGAGGTGTGTGTTTGTGAGAGAGAGAGAGATTAGGGAAAGGGGGATACCTAGTCAGTTGTACAACTGAATGCATTCAACTGAAATGTGTCTTCCCCATATAACCCAACCCCTCTGGATCAGAGAGGTGCGGGGGGCTACCTTAATAGACATCCACGTCATCAGCGCCCGGGGAACAGTGGGTTAACTGCCTTGCTCAGGGGCAGAACGACAGATGTTTTACCTTGTCAGCTCGGGGATTCAATCCAGCAACCTTTCGGTTACTGGCCCAATACTCCTACCCAACCAGTGCTTTGGTTTCTAATGGTTTCTAATGAATATGCATCACTTTGAGGAGGTGACTGTTGATTGTAAAATGTTTTTTTGGTTTTGGGTAATATACACTGTTCTCAGAGAGATTCAACTGCTCATCTATACCCAGAGAATCAGAGTGAGGTTGTGACTCAGTGTCACACCCTGGCTCTGGGACTCATTATGTTGAGCCAGGGTGTGTTCATTCTATGTGTTCTGTTTCTATGTTGGGTGTTCTAGTTCGTCATTTTCTATGTTTGACTGAGTGACTCCCAATCAGAGTCAATGATTGTCAGCTGTTTGCTGGTTGTCTCTGATTGGGAGCCATATTTAACTGTCTGTGTTTCACTTTGGGTTTGTGGGTTTTTGTTCCTTGTCGGTCTTTGTCACCGTGGACTTCACGAGTCGTTTATTGTTTTGTGTAGTGTGCTTATTATCACTGACGGTAATAAAGTCAATCATGTTCGCTCAACACGCTGCGTATTGGTCTACTCCTTTTCAAGACGATCGTGACAGAAAAACCCACCGTACCAGGACCAAGCAGCGTGTCCAGGAGCAGGCAGACTGGACATGGGAGGAAGCGCCGGGAAAGGAGATGGAGAGGCTGGCGATGGCCCAGGTGGGCAAATCGTGGTCCTGGGAGGACATGCTCGGGGGCAAAGGGCCATGGGCAAGGATTAAGGCCCTGGCGAGAGAGGAGCAGCGGCGTCAGCAGTATCATCGTCGGACGGTCGAGAGGCAACCCCAAGAAATTTTTTGGGGGGGGCACACGGCATGGAAGACGGGGCTGACGGAGAAGAAAAGGGGGCGGATCCAGAAGGCCACCAGGCCAGGGGTACACCGCCCTGTACGTCCTGTGCGGATGCCTCACACAGAGTGTGTGAGGGTAGGCATTCAGCCAGGACGGGTGGTGGCCGCTATTCACTCCAGGCCTCCTATCCGTCTCCACAGCCCGGTTCGGCCTGTCCCTGCTCCACGCACCAAGCCTACGGTGTGCGTCGCCAGCCCAGCCCGGCCTGTCCCTGCTCCACGCACCAAGCCTACGGTGTGCGTCGACAGCCCAGCCCGGCCTGTTCCTGCCACCCGCACCAAGCCTACGGTGTGCGTCGACAGCCCAGCCCGGCCTGTCCCTGCTCCACGCACTAAACCTACGGTGCGCGTCGCCAGCCCGGTCCGGCCTGTTCCTGCCACCCGCACCAAGTCTACGGTGCGCGTCGCCAGCCCGACCCGGCCTGTTCCTGCCACCCGCACCAAGTCTACGGTGTGCGTCGACAGCCCAGCCCGGCCTGTCCCTGCTCCACGCACCAAGCCTACGGTGTGCGTCGACAGCCCAGCCCGGCCTGTCCCTGCTCCACGCACTAAACCTACGGTGCGCGTCGCCAGCCCGGTCCGGCCTGTTCCTGCCACCCGCACCAAGTCTACGGAGCGCGTCGCCAGCCCCACCCGGCCTGTTCCTGCCACCCGCACCAAGTCTACGGTGCGCGTCGCCAGCCCGACCCGGCCTGTTCCTGCCACTCGCACTAAACCTACGGTGCGCGTCGCCAGCCCGGGCCGGCCTGTTCCTGCCACTCGCACTAAGCCAGGGGTGCGAGAAGTCAGCCTGGTAAGGCCCGTTCCTGCTCCACGCACCAAGCCAGGGGTGCAAGTCGACAGACTGGACCAGGGGCACTATGGGGGGTGTATTGGAGGGTGGTGGTCAAGGCCGGAGCCAGAACCGCCGCCGAGGAGGTATGCCCGCCCAGCCCTCCCCTGTTTTGTTTAGTTGAGGCGCGGTCGCAGTCCGCGCCTTTAGGGGGGGGTACTGTCACACCCTGGCTCTGGGACTCATTATGTTGAGCCAGGGTGTGTTCATTCTATGTGTTCTGTTTCTATGTTGGGTGTTCTAGTTCGTCATTTTCTATGTTTGACTGAGTGACTCCCAATCAGAGGCAACGAGTGTCAGCTGTTTGCTGGTTGTCTCTGATTGGGAGCCATATTTAACTGTCTGTGTTTCACTTTGGGTTTGTGGGTTTTTGTTCCTTGTCGGTCTTTGTCACCGTGGACTTCACGAGTCGTTTATTGTTTTGTGTAGTGTGCTTATTATCACTGACGGTAATAAAGTCAATCATGTTCGCTCAACACGCTGCGTATTGGTCTACTCCTTTTCAAGACGATCGTGACACTCAGCTGTCATGCTGGGTTTATGTAATCAGTAAACTGTTTTCTATGGGGATTCAGGCAGTGATAAAGGTCTGTTCAGAGACGTGGCATGTCTCTGTCATCTGTAAACTGTTTTCTATAGGGATTCATGCAGTTATGAAGGTCTGTTTAATAATTATACTGAATTATGCACTTTTTAAAAGTTTAATTATCAGAGAGTAATATAATACAGTACGTGTGTTTATAGTCAGATGATGTCATACGTATCTGAGAGAGGAGCCGAGAGATCTGTGTTTGTAAAAGTTCTCTCTCCTGTTCTGGGCATATGATATTCTCTCATTCACTTTTG